CTAAGGTTCAGATAGTGGGAAACAGGTTCAGCCATTGCTTTGTCACTGTCACATACAGTCTTGGATTGGCCAACCAGCCAGACAACCATCTTTGAATATGCACTCTTTTGGCTCCAGTCCTAGACCCTTTCACATAAGCCTTCTCAGTAGTCAGTGGTAAAACTACTATTTCTACCTATTTCACAAGTGCTACTCAGCAAAGAATTTACAAATTGCAAAAATGCTCCTAAAACTTAAGTGTGTCTGTGTTTTGCTACAGAACCATCACACCTGCATTTTATAAATAAGACACTGTGAACCACTGTTTTCTTAAAGACATGTTACCATCAAGACAGAGGAATAGTCTAAAAATGATTTTGGGAATTGAACTATATACATACACTAATGAGAGATTTTTCTTCTACTTGGGACCATAATGTTAGGTTTTTCTTGAATGAGTAGAGTATATTATGTTTCATTCGGGTTTTAAATGAAACAATAGCCTTTTTATTACGTAAGGGGTTGTATTTTGATACCTTTTGATGGCCCTAATTACTTTGACTTTCTTCACAGGACTGGCTTTTGCTATTCTTTCATCTGTGCACCCTGTTTTTGGATTGTATGGGTCTCTGTTTCCGGCTATCATTTATGCCATATTTGGAATGGGACGTCATGTTGCCACAGGTAGTAATTCTGACTATTTATGCTTCTCATGTTGCTAATGAAAGAGAGCTTGTGTGATCTTTCTTTGCTGATTATGTATCAAAAGCAGGGTCACTATGGAAAACCTCAGTGTATCTTATGGCTAGATATTTCTGTTTCAGATAATACATATTATGATTTATTGTAATATTATTGTATAACCAAAGTTATTGCTATGGATTATTTGCATTAAGTTTTAAAAAGACCATAAGGATGGAAAAATGTTCTGAATTTTTTTGTTTTGTGATGTCACATAACTTGTCTTTTTTGCCCAGACTTGCATTTGCTGTTCTAGGCTTCTTCTTGTTCCAAAAGAATTTTAGCAAATTTTTTTCTAGATGTGAGATATCTTAAAGATATTCTGATTGGAAAGCATTACATATATATAACAATTCTAGGAGTATGGCCATTTTCACTATATTGGTTCTTCCTATTCAAAACCAAAAGATGTCATTCAATTTTTCTGATATCCTCTTCAATCTTGTTTTCTAACGTTCTGTAATTTTTACTGTCCAGACCTTAAATACTTTATTAGGTTGATTCCTAAGTACTTTAGTTTTTAAAAATGCTATTATGAGTGTGCTTTTCTTAATGTCTGTCTCTGTGAGTTTGTTGCTTGTGTACAGGAATGCTATTAATTTTTGAGTGTAGGCTGTATCCTGCTACTAAATTTGAATATTAAAGCTACAAGTTTTGTGGCGGAGTTTTTTAATTTTTTTCCTCTTATTTCTTTCTCTTCTCTAATTGCTCTGGATAATGTTTCCATAACTATGTTGAATAGGAGTTGGTCTTAATGGACATAATTGTCTTGTTCCTGATTTTAAAGTGTCATCTTTTAGTTTTTGACCATTTTATATGATGTTAGCTGTTAGTTTGTTATAGGTGACTTTTATAAGATTGAGGTAAAGACCATGCATTCAAAATTTCTTTAGGGTTTTAATCATGAGTGGGTGTTGGTCTTTGTCAAGTGCTTTTTATGCAACTATTGAGATGATCATGATTTTTGTCTTTGGTTCTATTAATATGGTGTATTACATTTATTGCTTTGTGTGTGTTGAACCATTGCTGCACCCCTGTGATAAATCCTACTGAGTCATGATGTATAGTCTTCCTGATGATTTGGTGCATTCTATTTGTCAGTATCTCATTAAGGATTTTTGCATTTATGTTCATTAGGAGATTGGCCTGTAGCTTTCTTTCTTTTTGGGTTCTCTGGTTTTATTCTCAGGAATGAATTTAGAAGTATTGCTTCACTGTCAATTTCATTAAAGAGTTTGAAAAGTGGTGGTATTAGGTCTTCTCTAGATTTATTGTAGAATTCAGTAGTGAATATGTCAGGGTCTGGGCTTTTCTTTGTTGATGAATTTCTAATTGAATTTTCAATTTCATTGGATAATATCAGGTTTTTTAGAATTTTTGCATTTTCTTGCAAAAATTAGTTCTGGCAATTCAGTTGTGTCTAGGAATCTGTCCATTTCTTCTGTGTTTTCCATCTTACTAGGGTATACATTCTCATAGTAAGTGTTGATTATCTCTATGGATTTCTATGGGATCCACTGTGATTTCCCCCTTTTCATTCCTAATAGCTTATGTTTGTGTTTTTCTTTCCTCTGATGAGGTTGGCATTTAGTTTATGAATTTTGGTTATTCTTTCAAAGAACCACCTTATTTATTTGTTTGTTTTTGTAATGGGGATCAAACTCAGGCCCTTGCACTGTCAAGTAGGTGTTCATGCTATTGAGCTATATTCCTGGCTAATAACCACGTTTTTGATTCATTGATTCTTTGTTCTCTCTCTCTCTCTCTCTCTCTCTCTCTCTCTCTCTCTCTCGCTCTCGCTCTCGCTCTCTCTTTCTCTCTTTCCTTTTGTTTTGTTTTATAGGGAATCAAGCCCAGAACCTTTCACTTAACTGGGCAGGCATTATGCCACTGAGTTATATCCCCAGGCCCTTCTTAATGTTTTATTTGTCTCCATTGCATTAATTTCTACTCATATCTTTATAATTTCCTCCCTCATACAAGCTTTGAGTTTGATCTGTTTTTCTTTTTCTAGAAGTTTAAGGTTCAACATTAGGTTATCTATTGGTGCTTGTTAGGTTTTCTGGATGTGTGAGTTCATCACTAAAATTTTCCTTGGAAGACTTTTCATTGTATCCCATAAGTTTTGGTATTTTTTATTGAAATTATCATTTATATTTATGTTTTATTGGAATTATCATTTATATATTTTGTGTGGGTGGCTCAGCCCACCCTGGGGGCAGGACTAGCAGGGCATGTGGTTCTGAAGATCGAACCATGGTCCCTGCATACTTGCCTAAGCAGGCACTTTAGACTGCTGAGCTATCTCGCCGGCCCCTGGCATTATCATTTAATTGTATGTACTATTTAATTTTTCCTTTCATTTACTCTGTGACTCATTGGCTGGTCAGAAATGTGATGTTTAATTTCAATTACTTTGTAATTGCATTCCAATTGCACTATGACTGGCAGTATGCATGGGGTCATTTGAATTCTTCTACATTTACTTAAATAAGTTTTGTCAGCAAATACATGGTCTATTTTGGAGAATGTTCCATGTGTAGCTGAAATGAATATGTATTCTAGGGCTGGCCAAATAGCTCAGTGGATTAAAGTGACTGCAAGCAGGTGCAGGGGTCAGGGGTTCAATTCCCTGGGTCTGTCATGCTGGCCCCACCCCTAGGGCACACTGAGATGACAATTGAGACTGGGTGTGGTGGCCCACACTTGTAATCCTTGCTCTTGGGAGGCTGTAAACAGGCAGAATGCTATGAGTTCGATCTAGTAGTGAGACCCTGAACAACCTGTAGACCCTTCCAAAAAAAAAAAAAAAAGAATATGTATTCTAATGTTTGGGTGAAACACTGTAGACATCTACCAAGTTGAAAGGCTTAGTTTAATTGTACTTCTTTGTTGATTATTTTGTCTAGTTGATGTATCTGTTAGTGAGAGTTAGGTATTAAGGTATCCCCACTGCAATTTTGTAAGTGTTTATTTGGTTTTTCATATCTGTTAATATTTGATTTATGTAATTGGGTGAACCTGTGTTTGGTGAATAAATATTTATGATTGTTAGCTCTACTTCTTGGAAATTTCCCTTAATAAGTATAATAGTGACCTTCTTTATCTCTTGATCAGTTTTGGCTTAAAGTTTGCATTGTCTACAAATAGAATAGCTACCTCTGCTTTTTTCTGGGTTCCTGTGACATGGAGAATTGTTTTCCATCCTTTTATTTTTGGTCTCTGAATTTCTTTTTGGGTTAAGCATGTTTTATTGGATCTTGCTTCTTAATCCATTCTGCCAGTCTGTTTCTTTTGATTGATGAGTTGAGACTATTTTCTTCAATTTTTTTTTGAAACTGGGGATTGAACTCAGGCCCTTGTGCTTGCCATGGAAGTGCTTATTCCACTGAGCCATCTCCCCACCCCCTATTGAGACTATTTATGTTGATGGTTATAACTGGCATGTATTAGCTTTTGTGTTTCATGTTGTTTTCCTGTGGTTGGTTCTTGTCTTTCTCCTCTGTTTAAGTGCTTGTCCTGCCTGCAAACTTCTTTCTATTGGCGTTCATGTATTTGTGGTCTTCACTATCTCTTTCCAATATGTCCTTCAGAGCATTCAATAAAGCTGCTTTGGTGGTCATAAATGTCCTCATTTGTCTTTGTCATGAAAGTATCTTATTTCTTCATGAAGTTTGAAAGATATTTTTTGTGGGATACATCAATCCGGGTTGAACATTATTTTCTTTTAGAGTTTGAAATCTTCATTTGATGGTTTGTATTGAGAAGTCTGCTATGACTCTGATGGACTTTCCTTAATAGATGATATGCTTCTTTTCTCTAGCTGCTTTTAACATTTTGTTTTTGTGTTGAATTTCTGGAATCCTGATTACTATATGTCTTAGTGTAGATTTATGTTGGTCATGGCTATTTGGAGTTCTCTATGCTTCATTTATGTGTATGTCAATTCTTTATCCATGTTTGGGAAGTTTTTTTTTTTTACATTATTTCTGTTAAGAGGTTTTTAGTGATTTTTCTACTGTTTCCAACTTTCTCACTGATTTTTATCAACTTTATGTTGTTTTTTTCCTTCATCTTATAGATGTTGAATTGATTTTTTTGTGATCACTTGCAATTTTTAAGATACCGGTCACTAGTCATGTTCCTGTCTTCTAAAACTGATATTTTATCCTTGCTTTCATTCAATCTTCTACTTATACTTTCAATAGAGTTTCTAATTTCCTGCATTTTTGTTCATATCTGTTTCATTGATTCCATTTCTTTTCTATGTTTGGCATTCATAGTTTCCATCATTTTCTTCTGTTTATTTGTGTCTACTTTAATTTCTTTTATTTTGATAATTTCCTTTTGCACATTAGAGTTTGTTTCTTATATGGCCTCTTTCATTTGTTGTGCCACTTCTACTTTAATTTCAGAGAGTCCCAATAGGTGGCTTCTAGTTTCCTTATCTGTTTGTGTCTGGACTTGTCCTGGGTTGGCTTCACATTTGGGATTATATTTTGCTTCTTTGTATTGTTCTTTTGTATTTTTAATTTTTATTTTGTTTTCTCTGTTGATGCTTGCAGACATCATATGTTAAATAGCCTTATGACTAGTGTTGAATTTTTCCAAGAAGCTGTCTGTTCTTCCAGATGGCTTCTAGATTTAGGTGGTTCTTGGTCTTTATGTATATTCCAAGAACCTACATCCTCCATGTATTAAAACTGAGGAGTTGCTATTTATTTGACTTAGGGCCCATTCCAACTAGGAACAATTTTGTACTCGACTATGGTAATGGTTTTGACTTACAATTGCAATATTGTCACAAGGGGGTAAAACCTGGTATGTCATCCTGGTTAAAGTAGTATAGTTGGCAGTAAAAGTAGCAATAGATTCAAGTACAACCTGGGTTCTGACAAATTGTGGTAACTATTAGTCTGATATCTTTAACTATAGGAGGAAGA